CTGTTTACCATTATACTTGCAAAGCTTCTATTCAGCATTATATTTGCAAATCTAATGATTCAAAATAAGATAGGCTCTACATTAAATAAGCAAAAGTGTTTTATATTACAATACAGTATCAATTATTCTTTTCACTGGGTCTCTTTCATGCATTTCTGTTTTTATAGTGATATAGATTATCACTAAGAGCTGAGTATGGTCTGCTATTTTTAGAGAAAGTCTCCACCTTGATCTATTTTCATTTTGGCCCAAGACCAAGACAGCTGTACTGTGATGGTTGCAGTTACATAGGCATTGCATAATGGAGTATATTCTCTTAACTCATAAACACATTTTAAACATTTTGTTCTCACAAATATACTTTTTGTTGCTAATATATTAACAAAAAAGTATATTTGTCAGAACAAAATTTTATCTTATTTTAATATTTAAAAAAGAAGATTGTTCTAAACCATAAATTCAGAACAGTCCTTGTGCTGAAAATATTTTAAAAACATGAAAATACTAAATTTCAATCATGATATTTTTTCTTTCAATGTTCATTTGCAAGAACTTCATTTTTCACTCTTCACTAGAAACTTTCACTTGAAACTATATTATATTATTGATACATAAATAGTTAGCATTATTCTTTCTTCATCTCACATTGTAATTTTATTAAGATGCAAACATAGTTGCAGATGTGTTGACATAATCAAAAATATGTTTACTTTGCAAGGTTTCGGGGTTCCTAGAGCTTTAATGTACCACTGACAGATCAGCGGTATTAATTTTGGTTTTGGTTGATAAATAATGAAATGTGAATATTTATACTGCCTTATTTTCTCACCGCCGATCCGGTGGCCAAGATCGCAGTAGTGCCGTAAGATTGCGGGTTTGAGTCCCACCTCGGGCATGGTTATATTGTGTTTGTCCTTTCACCCCCTATCATCATCATCACCATCATCATCATATCAGGGAAGGCAACGGGAAACCACCCTGAATAATTTATCCCAAGAAAACCCGTTATGGGTCACCTAACTTCCGCATATGGAAGATTGGACCAAAGAAGAAATCTTCTCACCATAGGCATGCACAGCCTAAATAAAAAGGGAGGCCTCCCACATTTCTGGGCTTCTCTGTTCTTCAATCCTCTTTTCTATTTAACTCTTTTATTTACAAATTGCAAATGTGTTAATAGTAAGAAAATAAAATTTAATACAATTGGAGACTGAAACATTTTTAGTGATACAATTAATACCTATGTTTATTATACTTAACCACTATTTATTTTATTTTTTTTTTTTTTTTTTTACAATTTTCCCTGTCTTTTCACGGTTTTCAAGCAATTAATTTATTTTTCATTTTCTGTCTAATCAATCAAATAAAGAACGTAAAGTTTCAAAGTTCAGATGATGTTATTGTTAGTTATTATTGTTTTTCTTTTGGTGAAGGAGAAATGTCTTATGCACTGTCAGGGATGAAAATGGATCATCCCTATGTGTTACTTCCACAAGAAAAAACCCTCTCTTCTTAAGCCCATGCATCTCCCCACAGAAACTGTCATGAGTAATTACTTCATGGAGAGACAGGCAAGTAGCTGGGCTCTTGCTTCAAATTAAAGACAGAGCTATTCTTCTTAACATTGCATGATGAGGGTGAGGAACTCTTGCATTGTACTCCACTCTTTATTTTGTTTGAGCATCAGCTGTATGATATTGAATGAAAACTGATCCTACTTGAAGCGTCGTTCAATCTTCTTTTCCAAGTGTTCCATGATATTGAATCATCATCATACACACAAAATTCACATTTAGGATCATTTGATCTTTTAATTCTAAAAAAAGTAGATTTCGTGTTTAGAGAGCACTTGTGGGAGGCAGTAATTTTCCTCATCATGACTTCTGTTGATCCACAGTATCATCTCATATGATCTAGTGAGTACCACTTTGTGTCTCTATCCCACTCTTGTCATTCTGCCATGATAAACATTTTTCCTCTCTTCTTGATGTCTTTCATTCTGCGCAGAGATTCTTCTCTAACGGGGTCAGTAAGTTTCTCCAATTCATTATACATGGCTTCCACTTCTCTCGCCTACAGATCCGTAGGAGGACACTAGCCTGATCCTCTACTGTGCTGTAGAGACCATGCAGTAGGCTCACACTATTCTCAGTGCCAATCTCCTTTGTACTTGGGCGTACTTCAATTTCATACAAGTTTACCCAAGTTTGTCAACTCACACTGGGGTCGCATATATTATTTGAAAATTAATTGCACAAGAGAATTCTACTCTTTGCCACTCTCAGGGCTTTCACGTTGGAACCTATCTTCGCTACCATATTCACAGTCTTGTAATGTGGTGACCAAAGCTGAGCCTGTGATCAACTTTGATTCCCAAATAAGTTAATTACCATCTCCAGTTAATGTTCACGTCCTCCAAACAAACGTGTGGAGAACAAAATGAACCTTGGAGCAGACAGGTCACATCTTGAATGGAGAATTTGTGAGTGTAAAGTATACTCCTCTCATAAAAGTAATCTTCGATCAAGAGGTATTCTGGGTCCTTCTTGTCTACCAGTACTTCAATGATTTCCTTCCTTCTGGCATAGTTACAGCGTTTCTGTTACCTTTGGCTGCTAGCACAAAGAAGACTTTCCTGCCAACATCTCATTTTGATAACTTTGCAATACTGACCACCTCCAGGATGGTGGTTGTCAAACATCCCTTTCGAAAGCCTTGTTGGTTGGAAGATAAATTTGTCCCTTCTGAGAGGTGTTTCTAGAATTCTGCAAAAAATTAGATCCTCTAGTAGCTTGGCCATTGTGGCAAAGTGGTCTAAAAGACAAAGTCTGCTCTATCAGCTTTTTACCAATCTGGAGAGGAATAAGTTTCTGATTTGTGAACCTTCCTGTTTATGTTTCCGCCTTGGGAATGTTCCATTGCTAAGGCAGCTGTTGAACACAGACAACAAGCATTTGGGGTAGTGCATCCTTTGCTCTAAGCAAGGAAAATGCTAATCAAAAAATGTGGAACCATTTTTGAGAAACTTTGGGAAATGTTAAGGCTACAAGTAAAGACCCCTCCCCCTCCCTATATAATTATCCTTTTAAAAATTGCAGGGCCTTGAGTTCGGCCAAATCAATGCATCAATAACAATTTGGTTGTTGGAATGGTTGTCTAAATGGTCTAGTCGAAAGATTTGACCTCAGACCACCAATGAAACATTTTGCTGACAACCAATTTTTCAATGGATTCTGAAAACACAGCATGTTAGATGAAGTAATTTACCATGTATAGGAAAACAACCTATCTTCTTCTTAGATATCAAGGCCTCTCAATACGAGTTTTTCTCTTGAAAAACCCCGTTTTTTTGCTGCTGCAAAACAATACTTTCACTTTACTGCATAAATATGTAGTATAGTGAGAAGTAAAAATTCTTGGGAAAGGAATATTATGAAGTTGCTTCGGGAGTAATTAGGATAGCTGTAGAGATCCCCCCTTAGAATTTTAATATTTAATGAAGAGATCTAATAAGCACATAGCTTGTTACCACTACTTCTCTAATTGCTACCACCACTGCTTCTGCAGCAAGAGCACTCTTAGGGAGCCCTTAGCCCTCTTGCTCTGTAGCTACTATTGTTTTCTATGCTTTCAGAGTTTTATTATTAAGAGTTAGCACATGTAAAAAACAGGATGACATTAAACTCACACATTAAGAATGAATATAAATGCCAAATCTAAGTTTTATGAAAACAAAATATAATGAAATTTCTTTCATTTAAAGGTATTTTTTATTTTAAGTTTTCTCAGTGCTCTGAGAAATGTTCTTCTCAACACTTTTTTAATCTGGAGTGGGCTATGTGATGCTGACCATTGGATATAGGATTCTTCTAAAAATGTAGGCCTATCTAATTGTCAAAAGATTTTCCTTTGCCACTCAAAATCACGACAGCTGACAATCACAACTGCAATCAATTTAGAGAACCTTACCTCGTATTTTTGTATTTTGCAAATTTCTCAAACACTTTACTCACTCCAGACACCGGTCCCCTAACATCAAACTCGTGCTACTGTGAGTTTGTTTATCACTACCGATGTGTATCACAAAATGTTCCAATAGCACTAAATGAAGTGATTTCATAGCGAGGTGGTTGGCTTTTAATTTTTTTTTTTGGTAATGGGTACGTCCAATCCAAAAAATCTTAATCATTCTTATAAATGCCCTTTGATGTACGCTTGGAAAAAAATTAAAGAAAAATGTTAGCTTTTGAAAAACTGCTTTATTTCATTAATTTCAAGCAAAAATAACATCAATAATACTCGTTAAAAAACAACAACAAACTATATACATAACCTTTTTTAAAGATCTTATTTTTTTTAGAAAGAAACAGTTTTCTGGAAATGGGACTAGCTCCAATTTTTTAACCGATTAACTCCAATTAACTCCAATTTACTCCAATTAATTATACATAAGAGTAGAAAATTTAAAGAAAAACATTTTGAATTGTTTTTAAGAAAGAAGACTAGTTTAAAACCTGACATTTGCAGGCTAATGAAATTTCATGACTTTCCCCATTTTTCTAGAAAATGGTCACCTGTAAATACAAATTGTTTTATGTTGAATCTTTTACAGGTTGTCACAAGATTTGGATAGCTTTTTCCATAAAGGGTCATGTATCAATTCCCCAAATTATCAGCTTAAAAAGTGGGAGGAATCAGGAACTGATAAAATTTACATAAGTATAATGTTTTGTAACGTAGGACAATGGGACTCCTTTTTGTCATATTAGGGCCCTGTATGAACACCTATGCTTATAACTGAAGAAATTGACTGGATTAAATATTTTAGGTTGTGGGAAGTTGTGAGGACTCACTTTTGATAAGTTGGAACCAAGCCAGTTAGCAATCAGAACTTTTTTGGGGTTCAGTGCCTACTGTTCCATTTTGTGATTACTAATCCACATTGATTGATGAAATTGTGATTTGTTAACGAAATGAAGTTAAGAGTGATGTGCTTGCAGCCTCCTATCCCTGGCATGAGACCCCCCATGGGAGGCCCAGGGCACGTGGTGCCTGCCCCCAAAGGAAGCAGCACCATGGGAATCATCATGCCCATTTACACCATTGGCATTGTGATCTTCTTCATGTACACCATCATGAAAGTAAGTGCTTTTATAACTTAATAACTTAACGCAGGCATTAAGGAAAGTATAATTAAAAATTTGGAATCTTCACCACCGCCATTACCTCTTCTTTTTCCTTCTTCTCCCCCTCCTCCTGCTCTTCCTACTTAATCTCCTTCTCTTCCCTTTGACAGAAGGTCTTAGGGTTTGAGTCCTGATGGTGGCAGGATTTTTAATACTAGCTAGAACGAATTCAGCCGCCATCTGGAGGAGAATTCTAGCGGCCGGCTGCTGTGACTGGTACCAACGTGCGATCTTTCTTTCCTCGTCTTTGCCCTATCCTCACCCCAAACATACTCACACTCATACATGCACTACACTACCTTCAAGGCCGGGAGACCAGTTGGAAATATAGAAATACCTGATTGGGGAAAACCCCACAAGCCGACATGTAGGTGTGCGCCAAATATTGCCTTCCTGCATGGGAAGAACACTGCCACCTCTTGTGATAAAACATGCACTACACTTACAGGAATAATCACTGTAGCTGTTGACATACCAGAAGAAACAAAATAATCAATCACTCAATCCTCCTACTCCTTCTTTATCTATTTCTTTTCCTCATCCTCCTCTTTCTTCTCTTCAATCTTCTTGTACTTTATCTTCATCTTCTCTTCCTCTTTCTTTCTTCTCCTTCTCTCCCTCCTGTCTTCCTCCATTTTCCCCTTCCTACTTCATCTACTTGCTCTCCTTTTTCTTCTCCTCCTAATCCATCTCCTCCTTCTTCTCCTTTTCCTCTTTCTTTACTTCCCCCATCACCTCCTCCTTGTTTTTATTAATTTTTTTGTTATTCTTCTTGTCATTCTCTTATAACAACATATTTTAAGAAAGAAAAATGATAGAAAAGTAAATTTCCTAATTTTTTTTTATCAAATGCTCATTTTTAGAAACTTCACTAATTCAAAAACAAATCATACAAAATGCATTTAGTAATTAATATAAGTGTTAATAAATTAAAAACTCCTGATAGAAAAGTAAAGAAGCAATATTTCAATAAATTGTTTTTTAACAGGTAATGTTTAAAAAGCCAGGTGATACCACTAGCACTTATACAGAATTTACTCCTGATCCTGAATTTCGCAAAATTGTGTTTGACAACTACGGAGAGAGATCCTCATACGATGATGGACTCAAACAACGGTCAAAAGTTGAAGCTGGTGCTCTTTGGAAAACTAAAGATGATGGTACTAAACTTGGTAAGATATTTGTAAAATATCAGATATATTCACAAAGGCACATTTATTTTAATCACTTATAAATTATTTATGAAGATCATCCAAAGATTTGATAGCGCTATAGCATATTTATCACAAGGCCAGGAAGTTTATGAAAAATCATATTTTTAATTATGAGTTTTATAATATGCTAATTATCAAATGTCCACAACACACAATCAAACAAACAGAAACTCTGTGATTTTATATATAATATATTTATGCACATTTATTGCATTTTGTGTTATTGCATCATATTTCTATTTGATTTAAGATATTATTTGTATTTAGTTGCTTTTTTGTTCTTAATGTGGCATATTTATCTTGGAAGTTCAATAATGATGCAAATTTGACTCCTCAAACAAAAAAGTGTACTTCATAAATGTGAATGCGTATACTATTCATGAGAAATAGTAGGCATGTCTCTAGTTTGTTGCAGCAGTATTTGTCTGAACTTCTTTTCGAAGATATCATGGCTCTAATAACTGGCAACGATTTGCCCAATTATGAATGATATAATAATTTATCTTTGATAGAGAATTTGTAGCATTGGAATTGATACTTTGACGATGATACAGGCAAAATCATTATATTTTACTTTAAAAATTATTGTGGGATATTCGACACCAAAATGCAATATTAATTGTTAAAATTAAAATTTTTGTAATTGTTCAAGAATTCATAAAACTGTTAGTTGTTAAAGCATATTACTTCTGATGCATACTTTACAAATGTTAGAGCATATTTGCATGCATATTTTTCCTTTTGATACAACATTAACTTCCGAACCTTATTTATCACATATCATGAATATTTGTTTTTCATTGTTATGAATTCTTTAATGCGGCAGGATGGAAAGAAAGGGATACAAGTAAGTTGAGCAGTGTTTCAATTACAATCTCCATAGGAACATGACCATTGCACTTTAATCTGCTACCTCTGCCTTAACCTGACAAGCTGTCTTAACATTTCTGGGGCAAAGGTGCTTAGCTGTTTCATAAATCTCATAATTCTTCTGCCTGCAACTCACAACAAAGTATGAAAGCATAGGCTTCTGCAGCCAGAGTAAAAATCAACTTTGCTGCCAAGGACACACAGCATCCTAAGCACAAATATCGACATTTCACCCATCATACTCCAGGCAGCATTTTTTGCCGAGGAAGGTTGCAATAGGATGGATGGCATCTGGTCTTAGATCACGACATCTCCCAGACAGCCAAATAGATCACAACAAAATGTGTTCAGACACTAAATAATTCTCTAAATTTAAAAGTTTTTGGCTTCTTTTCATACATTGTGGGATGAAATCTAGAATAAATAATATCAATAATATTTTGATAATAAAATGATATTATAGGTTTTTCAGATCCAAGTCAGTTGTCTAGAGGAGTTTTTAAAATAAAATATTTAGAATGTCATGAAAAAGTAATCAATACTATTTCATAATAATATTTAATAAGGGTGTATGGGGATCTGTATAATGTTTATTGATGAGTAGTTTATTCTTTGAATCGACTTTTGTCTGAAAATTCCATTATGCTATCTAATCTCTTCAGTAATTTTCTGTAAAAAATTTACTATTCTTTTTAATTCAAACATTACATTTCAAGTGGTTCATACAACCAAGAGATCATAATTAAATAACATGTTTAATTAGTTTGGTAAGTCCATAAATTCTTCAGGTGATATGCCTCCAAGGAGAATCAGCAGGAATAATATTGGTTGCTAACAAGACAGTTGTATAATTATGTTTTAGAGTATCTCCCTGGTTCATTAATTGAAAGTAAAAAACGCACTCTTCAGTAAATATAAATTTTACAACAAAGTACTGTGAAAAACAGTTTTCAAATAGAATCTAGTTGTTTTAAATAAAGAATTGAAAATGACATTAAAAAAGCTGTAACTAATGTCATATAGTAGTATTATTGTAATATGAAAAAAGTCTTTTGTAAAAATATGTATATTGAAAGATTTGTTAACACAACTTAAACTAATTGGAAGAGACATCAGAAATATTGAGAACTGCTAAAAACTTATTCAATCTTATCTTCGATCTTTACTTTTTATCCAAAATTGTTTCCAACTCTGAAATTGAAAATTGTAAGGACAAAAAAAAAAGAAGGGTAAAGTAGAAAACTTGAAAACTTTACTAAATATGATAATGTATTCAAGATTTTTACTGCAGGCAATTAGGGGCCGAGGGTGCATTCCTTTGTCTTGCAGGAGATATAGAGATTGACCACCTTCGCAGACGACTAGAAGAGACAGAAGCCGCAATGGAACGCATTGTTGCTCAGATGGGCTCTGTTCCCAGGCAGTTGTACGCTTCCAAAGGCACGGAGGCAAACCGTGCCAAGGTTAGGGTTTCTGGCTTGTGGCTTTGCAAATTGTTTGGTGCATGGCATCCTGTCCCAGTTTACATGTTTCTCTCTAGTTTTCTTTTATCTAAACACCATTTGTCAAAGTACTTCATTGTTGTTTCACGCAGCTTGCATGCCTGCCTTGAAGATCCTGCAGTAGATTATCTTGAAATTTTATTGAAGCTATATGTAAAATATTAAGGCGTTGTAGTTATTCCTACTCTTAAGTATTTGAAGGAGAACAATCATTAATTTTGTAGCATTGAGAAACAGGTATTATAGAAATGATGGAAGAACGTTAAGTGAAAAATAGAATATTTAACTGCTCCCTGATTTATACTACCATGTTAGCAGACTGAACTGCCTTTCCTGAAGCAACAGTGGAGTTATAATCAATGGTGTTAATTTTACTTTTCTAATCCAGAATTGCATAGGTTTGGATTTTTAAAACCTTTGAAGTGTGACAAAGAAAATTATAAATATCATGCTGGATTAGAGAGGTTTATCATATATTCATAAATTGTGGCACTAATGTGAACTAATGCTTACTTTTATCATTCACATTATCCTATGACCTACTTCTTTCCTAGTTGTGACAGCAATCTCAGGGTTAATTGCTGAAGTGGATCATCAGAGAGAAAAACTAGCAAAGCAAGCTGAGGAACAAAACAGTTCTGAATCAGAAAGAAAGGTATCGTGCAAAGATACAATGGCGTCAGTGTTGTGCATGGCAAAATGCATTCATTGGCTTCTCATTTAATGTAACACAGCTCTAAAACTGTCATGCAATTTAAAGAAGATATTTTTCTGTACATACAGGGAAAATTGCTACTATGATAAAGTATTTGTTGTCATGTGATTTTATGTTTTGATGTTGTTTATTTTTGTCTAAAGAATGGAAGACTTTTCATTTAAAACAAAAATCTTATCTGTTAATTAAAAATTTGCAAAATATTTCAAATGAATAAATGGAACAAAATGATATACAGAAAAGCACGCTACAATTCAAATAGTAAAATCAAATATTAAGTTCAATTTTGAGTTAAGTCACTTTTTAACTTAACACTAATTTAATATTCATTACATATTTGTTGCAATTAATCCATTTGTTTTTATGCATACATTACCTAAAATTAATTACTATATTTCTTTAATTACTTAGCTACAATTAAAACATACTCTACTTCTTTTCTTCTTCTGACTCTCAATATTGCAATTTAAATATTCATGTGACTTCTGAATCATGGCATCTATGTTTTTAACATAAACCATTAGCTCTACAAAACTGTTTTGGTTAGCTGTGATTGGCTGCTCTGAAATATTTCCAGTACATTTCCTCCCTTCCCTTTCTGTTCACTGCTATTTATGTAGTATTTATCTTCATGAATTTTGCTGATAGTGTGTATTGGCTGTACTTTTATTTACTTACTTTTATGCTGTGTTTCATTTGTTATCTAATGAAACTATGTACATAGAGTGGATATTTCACAAATGTAAAATAGTGTAATAGTGATTAATTTACAACGTTTTTGATTTTGTTTAACAACAGTTGTGAAATGAAAGTTCAAAAATAGCAGCAATTATTGTGTATGTACATATTTGTTTTAAATCCAGTTAATGCTGAAGTTCACAGTGTATTACAATAACATAAATGATTAACTTGTCATCTAAACATCATTAAGTACATCAGTTTCTTTTAAATTGTTACTAAAACTATTTATTGCAAATTAAAGTTTTTGAAAACAGATTTGAGAACACTAATATAATAAAAATATTAGTCTTCAACATTTTTTAATTAATCAACTAAGAATTAACTTAATTTTTTAGTGAAATCATGTAAATAATTTGTAAATTTTTAAGTGTTTTTGAATATTTTCTATAACTTTTTTTTTTGCATGTATTAAACTGGCCAAACAAAAATAAGTATACTCAGAAGCATTTTATCAAGCATTTTTTCCAGAGCTCAGTTTATAAGAAACATAACTTTCGATGAAGATTTATTTTGACTTACCCTATTTTGACAACTTTTTTTTTCTTCCAAATTGTACATAAATGTGAATCCATTCCAAATAGTAGGATTAATTATAAGAGTTTCAGATTATTGTAACTGGAATGCTTAATATTTAATATTGTTTCTCACAATCTGTAATGATATAAAAGATAAATAATAAAATTAATTTTTTTAAATAGTTTTGATTTTCGTGTGTTCTGAACATTTTTTTTTTCTTTTTTTTTTCAAATTGACTTGCAATAATAAAAAATTTATTCATTATAAATCATTTAAAAGAAAAATGAAACTTCTAGAGAATTTTTGTACGATATGTCACAAAAAAATTACATTTGTTTTTACAATATATTAGTTCTCTCAGAATTTTTTTGCATGATATACACTGGGACAGAGTATGCTTTGTCATGCTAAGTGTTTTACTGGTGTTCAAGCTCTGGCATGTTTTCAAACTTCCTTAATAATTTGTTAAACAAATGAGTACTGACATTATCCATGAATTGCATGCTTCACTTTAATAATTATTATTTTTTGTGTGATGGCACTGACTGCATTGCATACTTTTATTGTAGATTAGAATTACATTTATTTTTAGTTAACTGTTTGAGATGTGTGTAGATGAGTGAATATTTAATTAAAGCAATATTAATTATATTTACACTTGGGGTAAAGTTATATAGCTTACAAGTAACAGATAAAATGAAAATGGTTACAGAAAAGGTTGATATAGTTTTATGCAGAAAATTCATTGCATTTAAGACCATTGATCATTGTTGAAAATGCTAGAGATTCAAATTTCTAAAGTAATGGAGAGGATAATTTTGATTCTTTTTTCTAATTTAATAAAACCTTAAGTTTCAACTATTCCTTTCACATTTTAAATAAACTTGTCTATTGTTAATTTATGCACATTTTTTTTAATTGTGGTTAGCATAATTATTATGTTAATTTAAATTTCAGGAAGAAGATAAAGCTGTGGAAATTGTCAATCTTGATTCATCTCTGAAAGAATCCAATTACAAAAGTATTGTTCAGGTAGTTATTACATCTGTTAATAAATCATAGAATCACTGAATCATTACCATAGGCAAGCACAGCCTGAAACAAGATAAGGGAGGACTACATTTGTGAGCTCCCCGAGCCTCCTTTTCCATTAAACATTTTGATAGACATATGACACATTTTACTTGAAAATGAAATCATTACTTTAACAATGCAATTAATAAATACTATTTATGTTCAACAATTTACAGGGTTGCCACATAGTTTGGAGAGATTGATAACTAATAATGTGCATCAATTATTCAAATTATCAGCTTAATAATGGGAAAATTAGGAATTGATTATATTCATGGATATAGCTGTTTTATTGCATAGGAGTATGTGACCCCTTCTGAATTTTTCAGGGGGTTCATGCCCCCCCCCCCGTGGGCACATTCATGTTTCCTACCATCATTATTAACCCTAGACAAACCAGTGGAGGGCAAATAATGTCCATGCTTCCTTATTTTCTTAATATATTTGTTCCTTTTGTTCAAAACTTCATAAAGCTCCTTATAGTAGTCTATCAGGGTCATTTTTATATTTTCCTCTAAGTGGCTAATTATAAAAAGCAAGAAAGATTTTAACAGGATTTTATCAAAGACAATAGGATTAAAGTTCTTAGAGACTTCTAAATTAAAGGATTACATTTTTCACAGATGAGTAAAAATTATCTGTAGTAAATGTGGAAAGTTTGCATGCACATTACATTCACCTGTCACGTTTAGAGCCCCCTTAGTCTTGCATGCGTTAAGTAACTTTGGTCTTTTTAGGGTTAATGACTCTCTTCATTGCAGGTTGATGATGCTACCAGTAAATCTCAGCAGAACGGCGAAGGGATCAATGGTACTTCTTCACCCATCGAATCTCAGGTAGATACAGAAAAAGAAGCTTTGCTAAAATTACTTAAACAAGCAGAGGCTACTCCTGAAGAAGAGCAGGAACGACCAAGTAGTCGTGCAGAGGAAGATGGAGCAGCCAAAGTCAAAATCATGGGAATGGAGACCACCGCAAGCTGTGAGTGTGGTCATCGATGGAGTCGCCCCAGCACACCCATTTTGGGAATTCCTGGACACGTTGGTCACAGTCGCAGTAACACCCCTGTGCCTCCTCCAACTCCAGAGCCACAGGCCATTTATTTAGAAGGCTCGCTACCCTCGCAGTCACAACTATTGGTATCAGATGCGGAAACACAAGCTTTACCAGTTGAGAGAGAACTTACAGATGATGAAGAAGATGAACCACCAGTGATTCTCAGTGGGAAAATGACTTTATCATTAATTAGTTTAGATGCTGCCATAGCAGCTGAAGATGAGCAACTCAGGCAACAACAAGGAGAAAACTGTGTAGCAGCTGATGGGGAAACAGCAGCTGTAAGATAGCCTCAGAGACCTCAAAACGTTAATCCACTAACTTCAAACCTATAACGATTTCTAACAGAATGCACACCTACTTATTTTTGGTGCAGAGATATGTTTATAAGAACTAGCCCTTTTAATGGCAGATTGCTTTAAGATATAAAACTTGTTTTTTTATTAATTTTTTGATTTGTTTTATTTTCCCCCTTATTTTTGCTTTACTCTTAGAACCAAAATGAAAAATGTCATGGTCATAAATATATAATCCTCATTACTAAGTATTTACAGCATGCAAACCAAAATTTTTTCAATATTTTCTCAGGTTGCATGGAGTGGTTTTTTTTTCTGTTCATTTTTTTTCTTCCATTTTTATTTTTTATTTTATTTAAGATATTTCACATTTTTGCTGTAATGGATGGTCTGACATCACTTCCAAAGGAGACATCTTGAGAAATATAAAACTTTTTCCAACTAGATTTGAAATTATGAATGCTCGTTTAAAAAAAAAAAAGGCATAAAACAGTGACAGTGCTGAATTCAAATTATTAGGTTATTTTATTTTCAATTTTCAGGTGAAAATAAATTCAACTTCATTAAAGCAGTAAAGCAAAGAAGTATATTAAAAATTTACACATTTAGTGAAAATAGCTTTCATAAATAAAATTCACAAACATTTCTGTAAATGATGGTACTTCCCCGTAATTATGCAGTAATACATTTTATTTCAGGTTGAAGGTTCTGAAGCTGTAGGAGCCATCAGAGAAAATGTGAACAGGGAAGAACAGGAAGAGGAAGAAGAAGAAGAGGAGGAGGAGGAGGAAGAGGAGGATGAAGAAGAAGAAGAGGGAGAGCAAGATGAAGGTGAAGGTGAAGAAAATGCAGGTAATTGCTAAATAGATTCTTTTTGTTTTCATTTTTCTAATTGTTGAATCTTGCAATTATATTGTGTGTAAAGTTTGAAGTGGCCATCCTCTTCAGCTTAGCTCTCAAGCTTTGGAGATTATTCTGTTTGGATTTTTTTCCCCAACAATTTTTTTTAAATCTCTTTTGGGTTTTTGTAGTAGCTAGTAGATCACAATACATTCAGGCTATCTTGGAATAACAATCACCTAGGTTGTTCAAGCCACATCCAAATAGCATGTTTCCATAGGTCATCATCAAAAGAAAAAAATTTCATGGTAAAACTTTCTTACAGCAGATACAGCACATGTACTATTTTCTCCAAATAATCACCACCAGAATCAAGACATTTGTCACACCTTGGAGCCAATATTTGTATTCCTGCAGCATGGAAGTTTGGCATCTGGGAAAGGTGCCAGAGTTTGAAAGCCACCTGCAATTTCACACTAGTGATATGTGTAATACTGACACGAGTTTCTTGAGATATAAGAAAAGATGGAAAATTGCATAGTGTGTGTGTGTGGGAGGGGGGAGAGGGGGCAAGATCCAGTCTGTAGAAAAATGGGTCTTGGCTGGTCATACACTCCTTGGCCCATGACATATCTTCTGCAGCAGTTTTGTAGGGATGTGTTTGACAATGGTCCATCTTTTCAAGAAATTCTGGTCTGGTCACAATTACATGTATTACAATAATGCAGAGTTACAAGTGACTCTCGAATTGGTATATATCCCAAGTGACAGACGATACAGGGATACAAATGTTGATCCTATGATATGACAAACGTCTTGATTCTGGTGGTGATTGTATGGAAAAATAGTGCAACATGTGCTGATCTGCTACAATAAAGTTTTTCCATGAAATTGTGTTTTCTTTTTGTTGATGGCCAAGAGAAACTTACTTTCTGGATGCACCTCGTAGTTTGCAATGAATACATCTATTCTGACCCATTAAAGGTGCAGCACACAATGTGGTTGAAGACGAAGATAAGAAGAGTGAAGAACGAAGGGATGTTCCACTTGTGAATGACACACAGCATGATCTTGATGACACTCCTTCTGCAACGAATTACACCACAGGTATCTGGAAATGTAACAATCACAACACTGCACATTATTGATAATGCAGAGTAACTCAAAAATATTGTTTTCAATTTTCTAATCTAGCTATCAAAACATAAATTTGTGAGAAATTCATGGTAAAAGAGTTGTAAGATATTTGACATTTGAAAAAAATCTACATTAATCTTGACCAGCAATGGACTGAAATCACAACTCAAATCTGGAATGAAATTATAAATGAGCTACCTTTTCATCCTCCGAGAAAAATCTTAATGTTTTTAATATGCCAAACACAATTAAATATGATACGAACATTTAAGTGAATCTGATCGTTTTAATTTTCATACAAAATTTTAAAACAATATCTAAATATTTATTTAACTAACAGGATACTTTAAAAATCAAATATTTATGTGATAAATAATTTCTAGCTTTTTCTGTATAAAATACTGTAAACTAATAGACATTCTCATATTTCTTTTTCATTTCTATTTAAATACTATAGAGGGAATAAAAAAATGGTGCAAAGATAATCCTCCGGAGAGTTATAACCAAGTTCGTAGACTTGTACACCTTGCATGATGACAAGTCTGGCCTAGCTCTTGAGGTCTCAAACGTAAATGTTTTAAACTGTTAACTTATTCCCTTTTGCCATGTTACAAACCATATGTATACCATGTTTCATAACACAGGATGTCCAAGAAAAAATATTACAAACTTCTAGGACTTATAGGGCAAATGATCATAACTTTTTGCCAATGAACATGTGATAAGAAATTTCACACAACTAAGTTACGTAATTGGCATTTGCCTCTGCTTGGTAGCCAATTCATCATGCATTGTTGTTTGGCAGATACATGAAATCCTTGGAGCATGATCAGCCAAACATCAACACATGGCTTATCTATCAATCAGAGATATGTAACTTCATTACATGTTAACTGGCAAAAAGTGATCTGAAAAACACACAGAGGTAGTTTTACAGGAATGTAGAACTCTAAAACCAGATTGTTCACTTATAATTACATTATTTTAATTCAAATACATGTTAAGATGTTTTTTGACATTTTGTTTCAATATTTTTTCAAAACTGGATAACAAATTTATTGGTCTAAATTGTGATGCTTCTCCAATACCTTTTCTTATATTTTTCCTCCCAATGGGAACAATAACAGATCTTGTCAACTCATAGGGTATAATTGCTTCATTTAGTGATTTATTAGTTATAATTTTTAAGTTGGGTACTGCAATGGCCATTGGATTTTTCAAAATTTCAATAGGACTGTCATACATTTTTTGTCAGATAATCCTTTAATAATTTCAATCACTTTATTATCTTTTATATGCATAATATTTTTAAATGAGTCATAAACAAATTTGTTTTGAGTTCTTATAAAATTCTTTTCCAATATTTTAAATGAAATCATGTTCGTTAGAGTTCTTAATTTATTTTTCATAAAAATTTACTTTATAGGGGGTATACACATTTAGAGCATGATGTTTATCCTCAACAAAAGTATTAACACAATAATTTATGTTTACTAATCAAGGCTCAAATTATTTATTGTTAGTAAGATAATTATTAAAATCATGTTCATTAATGTTTTAACAATCTCTTTATTAATATTTTTTTAAAATTTTTAATATTTGCCCCTCTGTGCTTGTTTGTGTAATGGTATTCCCATGAAAAATGTATTATTGAATGATCAGTAAATCCCATGTCAATAATTTTTGTGTGTAATTTCTATTTGTATTGTGCTATCAATCAATATTGTACTATTTGGAATTATTCTGGTTTTCCTTTGGACATATTGTTTTAATCCAAAAGCAGAATTAGTTTGCTTTAATTTATTAGTATAAAAAGAGTCTCATCTGGGATCAATGATAAAAACTCATTATTATAGAATAATTTGAAATAAAAACTTTGTTCTTTTTAAAGACTTTGAACTTTCAACTGTTCCAACTATTGAGATGTAGCACTGCTCATGTATCATTAATCATTTCCACTCCAGGGAGACAGATGTATTATTGATTAATTTCTGCATGCTATTCACTTCCTTTAAAACTTTTAGCTAAAAAAATAAAATAAAATAAAAAAACAACAACAAAAAAACTACATGCTTTGCATCAACCTGATAACAAAATAAATTTACAAGCTTAGATTAAAGCAAAAATAATCGTTGAATAATAATATTCAGTCAATTGCTCTACAATTCTTCTTAATCTCTATAATAAAATTTGTAGTCAGTGAACGATGTTCAAAAACTTACCATAAAATTTCTAACAAACATCTTTACAAAAACTAAAATATTTTGTTTTTAAAAGAAGCAAACATATCACACAGAAGAAGCAGACAATGACATTGCAATCTTACAATGAATTGCAGAAGAATGTGAATATGTACACTAATTCCCTTAAAAGTCACAAAACACAGCTATGTAGGAATACATATTCCTTACATTGCACTTTAGTAACTTTAAAGATATACACAAAAAATTAATTAACAATAGATTAAGTTGATGGATTTTAACTGTAGAAGTATCCACTCATCTATTTTGCTCTGATATAACATGAAACACACATTTGTTACACTACTGTAAACATGTGGGAGTAGTTTTATTTGTGTAGTTTTTATTTGATTTGGAATATCTCAACACCTATTGAGAACTCAGATTTTAAAGTGATGGGAAAGTCAATTGACAACACCCTCAAAATTGTTTTTCTCTTTTGTTCTAATTCACAGGATGGTCAACAAAGGTAAAAATTCAACTTTATAAATTTTGATTTCATTTCTTTAGAAATATTCTGAAAGTAAATGTTTTCTTTATGACATAGAATGACTTGGCTCTCATTAGTTGTAGCAATCTAATACAATTTGACTCATTTCTTTCAATAATTCATAACAAATGTTTTTAACAAAAAAAAGTATTCCAAAAGAACAATGTACATGTTCTCAAATCAAATTCAGTCTTGTTGCTGTTGTTTCTAGCAGCAACAGTTATGATTAAGCTTCTCTGAAAAAAAGCTTTAGGTTTCCTTTAATATTCCATTAATACATCAGAAGAAAAATAATAAAAAGTTTGTTTTTTCTCTAATTTGGAGTGTTTACGTTGTACGCAATAGTAGATCGATGGGGGCAGGGGCCATGACCCCTCTCAAGCCAACAATTTTTAATTTTTACCTAATTTATTAAAAATAATTACATGTGACAATCTCATAATAAAAAATACAGTATTACCAATATCAATATATTCAATTAGTTTTTTTATTTCAAAGTAGCAATTGAATACATATTCTTTCAAAAATATTTATAGGGGTCCAAACTGAAATTGGCTACCCCCTGAAAAACATTCTGGATTGGCCTCTCATTGTGTGTGTGTGTGTGTGTGTTTGGTTTTCGTTTTTTTAATAGGACTGTGTCATTGTATTTTTCTTTTTTAGCAAGTGCAGCAGCAGAAGCAACAAATGCTACAGGTACAGAAGAGACTGCAGCCGACTTTTCTGCAATGGAATCTATCGGTCCAGACGATGACCAACAGGTGGGAGCACTGAAATGAGCATTTACAGCCTTTGTACAATAGAAAACTACAAGTTGGTACAATTGGATAATATTTCTCAGAAAATGATTTAATTTATAGTTTAAGTAAAAAATTGTTGTTCTTATGAATGGCAAAGAGTAAAACATTCTTATTATGATATTATTTATCAGAAAATATATCATTGCTTAACTATTTCACTTTTATTTGCAGGAAGTGAATTGTTAAAATTTCAATAGGTCATTTATGTATTGCTCTTAGAAAAGAGCCCATGAGGCTCAGATATTCCATTTTCCTAAAATATTTTTGTGGCCCTCCTGTTTAGGAAGAGCTGGGGGAAGAAGAGGAGGTATGGAATGGAGAAGTGCATTCAGGGGATGAAGAGGGCGAAGAGGAGGAGGAAGATCAACCAGTTCAGCACATCCCGAATGTCCATCATCATTGAGAATGCTGTAGTCTGCATTTCAAAATTTTCATCATGTGAAATGTTTTGTTTTTAATTTATTTCTTTTCTTTCCTGCATTTTTATTTAAGCTTTGTTCATATTCTTAACTTATTTTTAAGAAATTATGTAATTACTGTTCTACCACAATATGAAATAATTTTGGTTCACATAATTTGTAGAAGAAAATAACTAATTTGTTCTTAAATAATCATTAAAGGTTTAAATCAAAGACTGCGCAGAAAACCTGCAAAAAGGAAGACTACTAATGTCTTGAAAGCCATATCAGCTAAAATGTATTCATAAGCAATTAAAGTTTAGCGCAATATATGTTTATTAGTTCATACATGCCTGTGCGTGTTTAGCCTTAAATTCTTGATAGTTATCTGCCTTTAGTGATATGCAGTCTTAGCTTCTTATCATTTGAAGGATCTAGTAACTGCTCTGCCTTAAATACACACCGAAAGGATTGTTAAAATTGGAAACATTTTTTACAAAGCTCATTACTAGTGCCCTAAAAATAAGGGGTATTAGAATCTTGCTTAAAATCAAATTTCTCTCTGTAAGACGATCATATATAGTTTCAAGAAACATCTGTTATAAAGCAATGATATAACAATCTGGGGGTGAAAGTATGTGTATTGTGGAAAAGCATAAATAAACAACTTTTAAAAAAACAGAAACAAATGGAAAATTATAAAAAGTTAATTCAAAATGAGGTGGGATTGCACCTCATGTTTTTGAAGTTTGACTAAGCAATTATTTCTTTAATGAGTAAATTTGCTTAAAATTTATGGATGTGTAGTTTACCAGTGTTTTGGTAAATCTCAGCCTTTGAATATTTGATAGAAATATACAATCACCAATGATCTACTGAAAAGTTAGCATATTAGTCTTTCAAATAGTATACATGATTATCGATATAAAAACTTATAAAATAAATAAATTATTAGAACAAAGAAATTAAAGATATTCTCTGTTGACATTACGATATTTTACAGCACCATTTATTTTTGAACAGTGTGTATCACATGTAAATGGTAGGAAAGGGATTCAAATTTTTTCATAAAAATACTAACAGAGAAAATGAGATGTTGAGTTAAATATTTAATGGTAACTCTCATTTCTTGGCCACAATTGTTAGAAACATTAAGTAATTCTTTATCTCCTTACCCATAATAGGAATTGTTCTAACTAACATCCTCTATAAAGTTGTGCAGCTTTATTGTAAATAGATTAATTTAGTTTAGAGAGCACATATTCCTTTCTATTGTTGGTCTTCCAACAACTAGTTAAGAACCAACTTGATTCTTCCTTCATATTTCTTCCATTTTAATTCTTCCATTTACTATTGACTGCAAATCTTTTACAAGATGAGCCAAACAAAATGAATTTTTTATTCTTGAAACTACTTGTGATAGTATTCTGGTCACCTTGAATACAACCTCTTACTGCATGGAATAAAATTTGTATGAAGAATGAATGTGCCAAATGTATGAATCACGAATGCTAAATAAATATATTTATTGTGTAACTGTTAACCATTGTATCACATTTTTTTATCATGCAAACTTTATAAACAGTCTTTTAATTTTTGTATTTGAAGTTCAGATCGTTCTAAAGAAATATTTAAATTGATTCACTTATAACAAAAGTTTTAAAAAACGAATTTTAAACACGATTTGAAAGAAAGGAAATACTTTTAAAACTCCATACAGAGACTGAAAAGGTATAAAAACTGTCAGTATTTTTTCATACCTCTTCCAAAGACCATTTCCCTCTTTTAACTGTAAAAAATACCTTTATATGACATCTATTCTGGTATGGATGTCCGTAATGGTTGTACCTTCATTCTCGATGAAAAACAATGCCACTTGCACCATCCATATTACAAATTGCCAAAATAACTTTTATTCATTCCTAATTTTGCAAAATATTTATTAAAAAAATAGCATAATTTCTCAAGTATTATATTCTGTTCAGTGTGTTTATTTCTTGTTTGTGGGACATACACTTTTTATTTAATTTAATCGTTTAATGTCATCTGGCAAGGTATTGTAAAATAATGTACATGTATTGAGTGTGAATTTTTTGTAGTGAGCTGTTGATACTGTCACCTGATGAATAAGATTACTATGTTGAGTGTTGTAGTTATAGATATCAGTGTTTGCTGAAAATATCTTCCCACCCTTAAGTAAGTCATTTTTAACAAAAAACAGATTCATATATGAAGAGACAAGGTAATGGTAAGATACCTAAATTAATAAAGAGAGGCTTACAAGCATCACGTGGGTGAGATTGCTTATTATTCGTATAATTCTTTTTTGTAATCTAAAAGTCTCGGAGCTATAAGATGCATTTCCCCAGAATATTATGCCATATCTCAGGCGGGAATGAACATTCGCGAAATAAACACAACGAGCAGTATGGAGGCTGACTGAATGTACGTAGCATAAAAAACTTAATTTAGTGTTCAATTCATTTAAATGGACATTCCATTTAAAGTTTGACTGAATTGAAAGACCTAAATATTACGTAACCTTAACATCAGTCAATGGCACGTCCTTCATTTTCAATGGAGCTGTTTATTTGAAATGGAAAACTGCATTGAAACCGTTTTCTTTTTATTTTCTATCAATTTGTTATTACGGAACCAATTTGAAACATCTAATATTGTACTATTTACGGTTTCGTTATTGCAAAAAATATTCGTATCACCCGCAAAGAGAACTGTTCTTCCGTTTCTAATCTTCGAGGGCATATCGTGTACATATAGCAGGGAGAGAATACGGCCTAAAATCGATCCCTACGGGACTCCACATGCAATTGGCAGAGAATCGGAAAGGTGTGTACATAATGTTCCATTATTCCAGTAAGGTATTTCTTCTCTCTGAGATCGTTGTTTAAGGTGCGGACATAACCAAACTAGAGATATACCACTGGCATGAAGCCTAAAAAGAATTTAAAAATTTTCTAAAATATGGCTCCAAATGTTTGGAATAAACTTTGACCTGGGATAGCGTAAATATGGATGAAATAATTGAAGCCATCTTTGTCAACTTAGGTTTATTCAGAGACCCGACTTTTACTAATGTCAACAACACATCATCCGACAATTCATGGACTCAAATCTAGGGCATCTGGTGTACTCTCTCTTCTCTCTGATAAAAAAATCACTTTCTACGGATAAACATCTGGTTTCTATCAAATAGTGCAAAATGCATAGTGCCAGATTTTATCCAAGAACCAGCTAATCTCCACACTAAGGCCGTCTCTAGAGCTGTGGATGCGGGAAGAACGACGACAATAATCTAGCCGGTCACTTTCTATCTGACCGACATGTAAAAAAAATTCGATTTGTCTCCCAAAACAGTAATATGGTCGACTCTGCTCTGCCCTTGTGGCACACCTTTGGCCGGTGCTTCCTCACTTCGCTGCAGAAAGCTACTTCTGTTCCTCTGTAGAGGTCTCTCCGTAGCGAGTGCCAGTCCGCCGGTTTTCCTTTCCACGGCGTCGCGTCTGTGACAGTGTTCTCCAGTAGGTCCTTAAGGGCTCTAGGGCGGCGCTCTTCCCAGAAAAACCAACCTTGGGAAAAGTTGCAGAAAGTATTAAACTAGCAATAAATCGACTCGTTTAATTTGCGCGAACCACCAGCGCAAATTGAGGACGAATTTAGTTTTATGTGCTCGCTTAAGCAAAATAGTATTGTTATGGAATAGTTTCCTTCATGGACTATCGCGAGTTCGTCTGTAGCTGGTGCATATTAGGCAATGGAAACTTGAAAAAGAGTGCGGGTACTGGGAGTTTGGTGGGGGCAACGGGCTGGTATTAGGGGTTTGTTCGGCAGAGTCCATGTCTATTAACTAAGTTAAGAATTCCGTCCCTTTCATTTGAAGTCATAAATTTACTGTTTTGTTTGCTGGAAATATGTTTTTAAAAAATCAATTTTTGCATGAACACAATTGTATCTTGTCAACTAGTTGTCTTAGACTAGTATTAAAATCCAGATACGTGCATATCCATTGTACTCCATATTGCCATATTTTTCCTCGTTCAAGAAATATTTTGAAGAGATAAAATGATAGTTCGGAGATACATGCGGTCCCTCCAAATTCGCAACCCATCGGCCGCCACCGGTGCCATCCGTCTTCCGTGCCCTCCTCACAATCATACACGATATGCACGTGACCATATTCGTCCGATCACAATTCAAATTATCCAAAGAAAAGAAAAGAAGCTCTTTACAAAAGTTTCCTCGTCTCAAGTCGTATCCTCCGAGCGACGATATCTGTAGTATCCAAAAGAAAGCAATTTCTAGAAATGGATTTATTCCAACCACAATCAGTACAGAGGTAGACAAATTCAAGCCAGATCCAAACAATTTTCAGAAAGATGTACCGAAGAATGTCCAAGTCACAATTTCCCGGGAGATGTCCAAAATCGCAGCCGTTGTACCGTTCACTGTTTCACGAGAGAGGGAGTCCGTATCCGTAGCAGTGTCGTCGCACTTGTTTACCATTCACTAATCACTTTTCGACGTAGGCAGGCGCTTGACTGTCTCTCCGCCTCGCCGGGCGCGGCTCTTATAGCCGGCTCGAGCTGCGGTGCGCTGGCAGCTGTCCGATACGGATGCGCCCGTCCGTCCGGAGCCTGGTCGAGCGTGACGGCGCCGCGGCGTCTGCTATCGCCGCCCTCTCTTGAGTGGCGCCGGAACTAATTTTCGGTGACACTTTTTAAGGCACGCAGTCGACCACAGCAATATCCAGAACAAATATTCTCTTCGAATACGGAGTTGTACTGCACCACTCCAGTCCAGAACCGTTTTTATTTCGCTCCACCGCTCCGGCTACGTCCGAATTCTCTCAGTACTACATCCACGACGGTGCGCACTTCAGAACGTTGCAACTTGTGTGCGTATCACGGAACGTTAAAGTCGAGTGTCTTTGTTCGACCGTCAGCCCAGCCGCGCATTTCGAAACCGCTGATGGGTATTTCATACGCCATCTGCCCTTTTAGGAGAATAGATTTAGATTTAGATTTATTTATTCAAAAACCAGTAAAAACTATATGGGACGTATGGGGGAGAAGATTAACTGCGCACGTTTTCTTGAGTTCCGGAATCCCTTCCCGTTATTTTAACTATAAATAGTTGAAAGACGAGTAAAAGTTTAAAAGAAATAAATAAAAATAAATTTTAGAAAGGCACCAGATTAGCAATATTTGAAAAGAATAGACATTTTCGTTTCCGAGTTATAGAAAACTTATTTGCATCGGTAAACGATTTGCAAGAATGATTTTTTTGCATTTCTCACAAAATAGTAATACGCCTTACCTCCTCCTACAACCAAAACGAGGGTTCAACAAAACGTGCGCATAGTGAAGCTACATTTACGTCCAGAAGCAAAACAAGGGGCCATCTCAGCATTAGAATAGCCGGTGGTCACAATGTAGTACAACAGTTCTTTGACAAGGGGGTATAAAAAAGTCGCTGTTCCATAACGCAACACATGAAAAGCAAATATTTAATGTCGAACGAATTATTCAGAGAAGCTTTGTCGCATGACGTAAGCTCTGTCGTAAGTGGTGAAGCATTGAGTATGAAAATTCATCGATACGTGCAGTATCAGAAAAGGCGGGTTAATAAATAAAAATATTCCCTTTTCAGTTAAAATGGAAGCCTTTATTGGTTTTGCCAATTCCACGCCTCTCACGTGGCCGGAAGATGCATCCTTTTCTTTCACACATCAGAAATTAGTAATAGAGATAATAATTATAGCATAAAATAATTATTAATTACTTCTACACGAAATGTACATTGCATCACTAACGATTAGTAAACCACAGTATAACATTCATTAGATTGATATTACATACCACATAATAACGCAAGACAGATGAAGTACATTAGCTTCTTGTGATTGCAATTCGTAAATTAATATTCCAGGCAAGTCGTTGAAATAAAAAAAAATCCTAAAAGTTCGGTTCCTATTAATAACACAATTTAATTTCGAAAACAACACGCAATTAATTGTTCTTGGAAGAAAAGCTTAATACAATGAAATAAAGTGTAACTCCTGAAATTAACCGAAGCTGTATACAAGGAAATGAAGAATTGCTGCAACACAGGTTTTTTTTTGTTGAAACAATACAATATTCGATTGAAGCCGCGATGCAATTCTGGCAGATGAGACGAGTCCTCCTCGTGGACGAGCGAAGCGGGCCGCTCAGTCGCGGTCGCTGGCCTCTGGCTCGCTTTGGCCGGAGGCGCTCGCGCTCGCGCTTGCGCGCCGCGCCTCCACGCGCTGCTGCGTCGACCTGGTGGTGAAGCGACGGCTCTTCTCGTCCAGCGCCACTGCCGCACGAGGCCACCCGTTCAATGGGGAGTTTTAGCGCCACGCGTAATGTAGCGGCGTTAAGCACTAACAGTCACGTGATGGACCTTGAAGTCATAACGGCTTACCTCAGGCCTAAGGTACCCTCGTAAATAGTGCACACATAGTGGGAGTCTCTACGGTCACCTTACAAGCGGCAAAATGGCCGCCTAAAAACAGGAAAAGTTGAATTTTTCTAACTCTGGTAAAACAGTTATCGTATGTGAGGCAGTTACAATTATTCCTTACTAGCTCCAGAACGCTGGCAAGAATTAATGGGATACGTTGGAGAGGTGATAGGAAAGAAATTGGCGAAAAAGGTGTTCAAATCATATCTTCGGGATAGGTTATGTCTTATGCTCATAACAAACGCTGTTTTAAGGTAATTCCAATAATTTCAAGAAAGTGCTGAGTATGCAGTCTGGAATTTTGAATTTGTTTTTCCTGAAAATATAGGAAATACCTTAAAACAGCATTCGTTATGAGCATAAGATATAACACATTCCGAAGATATGATTTGAACTCCTTTTTCACCAATTTCTTTCCTGTCACCTCTCCAACATATCCTGTTAATTCTTGCCAGCATTGTGGAGTTGGTAAGAAATAATTGTAACTGCCTCACATACGAGAATCGGTTTACCGGAGTTGGAAAAATTCAACTCCGGTTGAGGCTCTTACAGGCGTGCACTATTTACGAAGGTATAAGGTCGTACCTTAGGCCTAAGGTAAGACGCTATGACTTCAAGGTCCATCACGTGACTGTTAGTGCATAACGCCGCTACCTTACGCGTGGCGCTACAGCTCCCTATTGTTTCAACTGCTAAGGTTATTAGTCACGTAAGAAGGGGCATGCATTTAACGCGAGAGGTGACGGTGATCTTACCTCGTTGGATGGAAAAACGCGGTAAAACGCTAGCGGGGGTTTCCCCAACCAGGTATCTCCCACCAACGGACATCGTCTCAGCCGGGACAAGTTCTAAGCTCTCGACCGGGCCCCCGGCTTGAGTGGTAATGTAGTGTATGCACGTGTGTGTGTGTGTGTGTAAGTAAGGGGTGAAGATAGGACAAGGACGTAGAAGGAAAGATCGCACGCAGCCCGTGGCCCGTTTGTCAGGGTACTGCTCCGGCAATCACCTGGTATTAATCGGAGAAACCACTGAACACTACCAATCAGAGCAGTTGGCCACTAGAATTCTCCCATGGACAGCGTCTGAACTCGACCTAGCTATGTAGCTAGTGTCGAAAATCCTGTCACCGCGGGACACAAACCTAGGACTTCCTGGTCAGAGGTCCTGCAGTGACATCAGTGGACGCAAAGCAATGCAACGCAACGCAACGCCACGCAGCGCAGCGCAACGCAACGCAACGCAACGCAACGCAACGCAACGCGGCGCAACGCAACGCAGCGCAACGCAACGCAACGCAACGCAACGCAACGCAACGCAACGCAACGCAACGCAACGCCACGCCACGCAAAGCACCTGTCTGGTCGAGGCGGTACAATGCCGTCTCCTCCATGCGCTTGAGCAGGTCCGGGTGCGCGGCCACCGTGCTCAGGAAGTCGTCGCGGTCCAGGCAGTACAGCTCGCACGTCTCCACGGCCACCACGCTCGCGATGCGCGTCTCGTCGCCCGACAGCATCGCGATCTCCCCGAAGAAGGCGCCGTCTTGCAGGTGGCAAATCTGCAACTCCCGATTACGGGGTTTTGGGGTTCGTTTCGCGCAACTTTAGAACTTGACCGAAGATATCAATGTATGTAGGATGAGTCTTTTCAGGTGCTAAAACAGCAAGTACTTTCTTGTCCGTATTTCCAAGCATAATTACGCGAAAAGAACTCAAATTTTCGAAAAAAATTTACATCGCCTTATTTCAAAATCTATCTTTAAGGAACAGATTTCATTAAGGGAAAAATATTTATCTTTAACATTTTAGTTGCAGGAAGACTCCGAAACAATTTTGAACTATTGAAATTTTCTAAAAATCAGAGATTTTAACGACGAGACCTACAGCATTCTCTTAAACGTTTTTCACACTATCCAACAAAATTTAATAAAAACCAATGGAGAATTTTTTGAACATTTTGAAAATGTCCCTGGGGCTTTATGTGAAGTACGTCCCAAAATTAAAATATCGGTTTCAAATTAAAGATCTGCGTTATCAGCCAGAACGATAGGGGAATATCAATTTTAGAGAAAATCAGCTGAACAGTTTAGCCGCTAGCGTTGTTCACACACGGACAGACAGACGCAGACATACACAGGCGGACCGATGTTTGCCGTCATTCCATTTTTCGTTATCAAGAACCCACAAAACATGAATAATGGCCACACCAGGAAAGAGTGGTTTTTTAATTCATCGATTTCCTGGAAGCCTATGTATCACCGGCAATTCGTGTGCTTTTTTACGACTAGAAACGCTGTTGTACACTCGGGAGGCCATTTGTAAACAGCGTGTGTATTGCAATTCTGATGACCGACTGTCAGGATAAGATTCTGACGGACTAACGTCTTAACTTGGTCTTGAACTCGTCCCCCGCGTAGGGCCGTGCATTAACCGTCGCAACGAAAATGCAACGGCGATGTTTTTGTATCATGAGCAAGCCCATCACTGGTTCAAGTATCGTCCCAACCTCGCTCCCCATAGCTGATTCTAAGTAATCAGAGCGAGGCACTCGGATCAGAGGAGGGGAATAAAGCCTTCGTCACTCGCGTTTGTGGCTCCGGAATCACACAAGTGAAATTTATTCGGTCTTTAATTGAACATGCAATCACACATCCAAAGACCACCCGGTATGTTATATAATGCCATGTGCCATGCCATGTGCATGTTATATAATGCCATATAATATAATGCCACATATGGAATTGTCGAACATGGCATGTTTTGTGAAGTAAACTAAAAATACATAAAACCATCTTAGATGACAAGTGGCAAAACACGTGAAGATATGCATTCGATAAAAAAGTTGAAATATTATTTAAAAATTGCGTTAAAGAAAATTAGATAAATTAATCTGATTTGCTTGTAAACGGTTCAAATAACGTTGCTTAATATTACCTCATTGCCACTGGCAGAAAAGACGACGACCGTCCCTGCGGCAATGAAGTACATGGAATTGCCAGTCGTGCCCGCTTGCACCACAACTTCGTTCTCCATGAAGATCTCATTTCGCAGGCAGAGGACGATGCGAACCATCACATCCAAAGGCAGATCGCTGAAGAAAGGGACACTGGAAACGGCGCTGTGGCAGCTGTACATCATGATATCCTGCGCAAATATCACACGAAACCCTCCAAAGAGTAACCACAAAGTAACAATAACGATAACAAAAATAAGTTTATCTTAAACCTAAATTTAACCACATAAACCACCATTTAACCAGATACAATATGCGTCGTACTATTTTCCAACATAATAGCCATCGGCCTTGTGACATTTATTGTGGGATAAATGGTGGTGGCGGCTCCTTGGGGTAGACACTTCCTGCCCTGATGAATAAGTACTAGTATTAGTATAAAATCTATTAACATTTCGTAATACTAAAAAAATCAAACGACTCTTGTGGCACCAGCCATATTTCTATTTCAAGCGTTTTCCAACAGCCCGTGCACTACGCGATCTCTTCCCGCAGAGACATGCGCCAGCTTGCACCTCTCAGAGTAGGCACGCCAGAGAGTAGGCAAGCCCGGGCGCTGCCTCGCTTCTCATCGTATTATGAAAAAAGACCCTGTTGTAAGCGTAGAACACTAGCATGCTGTGTCCATACTTGACGCCTGCGCGTTGAACCGCAGGCCAGCTTGCTGTCTTCCGGCCCTGACAACTCCGGTTTCCACTCGCAGTGCAGTTTTTATGAAACTGCGCCCCAAGGCCCGTCTCCACAGTGGCATTATGTCACTGCATTTCGCGTGTTTCTCGGTCGTGCCGCTAGATGTCGCGACCTTTTCAAGCGGTGGATGATTCGGTCGCGATCGTGTGACATTAGCGCCTCGACCGAGAGGGAAGCGAAATGTAGTGACATAATGTCACTGTGAAGACGGGCGCAGCTTCATAAAAACCGCACTATACGTGAAGCCCCGTTGCGCGTGTGTTTACCGTCTTGTTGTCGAGTAAACAAGGGTATACAGTGATTATTATTTAGGAAGTGTTAATTTTTTTCATTTTCAATTAGTATGTTGCGGATTATTAGTGCAACTTGATTTTTTAATAGTTAAATCTGATTTTATGTTAATACCTATTATGCCAGATACAAAGAATGAACTTCTGCGTACATCGTTTTCTCTTCTAAACGACGTAGACAACCGACCTAATCTTATGTTGAGTATGGTTGAACATCGTGCTGCAGAAAAAATGCAAGAAAAATAAATAGTTCGTGCTATTATTCACACAAATTGCTAACAGTAACAGGTAGCACAGATTAAGTTAAGCATATCTTTTAATGTCAATTAAGAAAAGAATAGAATAGAGATGGGTATTTTGATATGAACTATTTATGTTATTCTGTCTTGTATTAGCTCACACTGGCTTAATTGCACGTGTTATGCCATTTCCTGCAACATCTATTGCCAGTTAAAGTGCAACTTGACGTAAATCGGAACTCAAAGCTGTCCACGAAACTGCTTCTGCAGTTCTCGTATCTGTCTCATGTATTAAACCTTTGTCTGTCTGTAACACCCTTTGTGCCCTTTTCGCAGGCTGGTGCGTATGCAATCCACCCCTCTAAGAGTCGTAAATTCCAGACTCACAAACTTGTCGAGCGCACCCTCGAGGACATCTCTACAACCTGATCGGTTCTCCCCTTGGCTACGGCCACACAACACAAACCTCTTTTGGTCGTGTTCTTCGCTGTCGCCCGAACTGTGCAAAATGTTCATTATTGTTCTACGCTTCTTTACAATTTATTTCAATACGATGTGTGGAACATCACACTATTGGAGGTAGGTCCTTTCATTTTTTTAAACAAAACAATACCATTAACGTTGGTTGCGTTACTTGATAAATTTTCAAATTTTCTCTCCTTCCCTTTAACACAACACAACACAACACAACACAACACAGCGGGCTGAAAAGAATAATTGGACAATTGTTGGCGACAATATGCGGTTCGTACCTCTCTTAAGTGTTCGGAGATGAAGGCGAGGATCTGATATTCGCGGAAATAGAACTTCCTGAAGCAGTACTTGAAGTACTCCAAAAGCCGGTCGCGCTGCTGGTCGGGCAGGTCCGTGTACTTCATGAACTCCTCCAGCTGCGCCACTTTGCCTTCCACTTGCAGCGACGCCCCTCGGTACATGCGCAGCAGGATGAAGCCTTGCACTGCGCGCGCAGCGAAGGAACCGTGAAAGGACGCAAAGGGAAGATTCGGATTTTCCGTCCCAAGAAAAGAAAGAAACAACGGCTTCTGGTAACAAATGAACGATTCTAATCGTTAGATGACATCATGAAGATAATACAAGTTCCTTTGAAATAATACTTAACGTTTCTAAATTAATTATGAAATAACGAAGTTGCCATTTAATCAGTGGCGGCTCGTGGTCATGCCGTCGGGTGTGCAACGTTTCTCTCTCCCTTCAGACTATTCATTATCTCTCTCTCTAATATATATATATATATATATATATATATATATATATATATATATATTGCAGGTCAGTCCATGGACCAAACGCCCCAGCTCCCCATGCAGCTACGGCGCCGCCCAAACACGTCCCCGCGACGTAAACGCACCACTGTGGTCAGTGCGTCAGTGCGAAAGAGGCGAGCGCGAGGGGTCAGTCGGAAGGGGTTGAGACGCGGTACTACCCCGGAGGGGTTTGAGTCTGGCCAGATCGTCCGGGAACCGGTATGTATTCCCTATAAGTATTCATATGCAGACAGCAGAACAGTTATTTACAACATGTGTCCGGAAATGCTTCTTTTCAGAATTCTGACCTTCATAACGCTGCTATTCACCGGAACGTTTTCTTTCCGGCGGTCAATACAGAAGATGTTCAAAATGTACACCTCCTGCGGGAATACAGACTTCACATCGATGTCTCATTGACCTGCCACCACGATCCAAAACTCCAGGAGTCCTCGCAAGGTACCACAATTCGTTTCCGAAGGGATTCCATATCAGGCAAGAAGACGAATACACCAATCATTTTAAATGTCACCGCAAGTAGAAATGGAGATGTTTAAGATCAGGTAAGCGTGGAGGCCAAGCAATTGAGCCACCTCTACCTATCCATCGATCAGGAAACCTAGTACCGTCGAGCCGAACGACTGAAATGTGTAGGAGCGCCATCATGTAGAGTGAGCGTGCTGATAACTGATCAGTGAAGCATCTTAATAAACATGAGGTATAATGTTTTCCACCAAGTTTGTGTACGCCTGCTCCGTACGTCTGTTTACAAGTACATGGGGTCCAACTAATCAATCACCAATAACACCGGCCTACATGTTGAGGGACAACCGCACCTTGTGATGAGATGGTACAGATGCACGTGGGTTTTCATATGCCCATACATGGTGACTGTGTAAATTTGTAATGGCATCTCATGTGAACTGTGCTTCATCTGTAAATAACAGTAAGGCAGGAATGTTCGGTTTGCACCACACTGCTGCAAAAACCACTGACAGAACCTACGTCGTGCTGTGTAGCTAATCTGCTGGTGATAGGGCCTGTACACGTTGCAAATGATAAGGATGCAACTGATACTCTTGCAAACAGTATCCAGACAATCGTATGAGGAACATTCACTTGCAACGCTAACCTTCATCTGGTAGGAATCGTGGGTCCATATCGTCAAGAATCTCCTCCTGTACAGCTGGAGTTGTACATCTTGGTCGTCCCCTCCCCAAACCAGGAGAGTTAAATTTTCCATGCTCGCACAGACGGCGATGGAGTCGTGCAAATATTTCCGATCTGCACATTGTCGCTGTGGGTACCTCTCCTGGTACACACGATGAGCAAGTGCAACATTGAGAGCGTAGGCTTCCGCGGCCGGAGTCAGTATTTACTCGGCTATCCGGGGGACGCCGCGTCCATGGCGAAGGTACCGACGTCACCCGGACAGCCTAGTAAATAAGTGCAACATTACCGTCCGCCTTAGCGTACATGAAGTGCATGTCTGCCAACTCCTGATTCGAGTACATAACGCAGCCGAACGCACTGCCGCAACACCACACTGAATGTAATCTTCGCCTCGGAATGAACTGTGAGAGAGTCCTATTAATGACCTTTCACGGAAACGACCTGCGGATGGAAAAGCGTTCCGGTGAATTCCAGTGTTGAGAAGACCATAAATAGGACTATAATTAAACATTTCCGGAACCATGTTACACTGAACTATTTTGATTGTCAACATATGGGGAATGCATACCTAAAATTACGCCCTAATTTTTGAAACACTGTATGCGTATACATTGTTAAAAATATACGATTGTTCGGATTGGCATGCCGCCTGTCGTGATTCGTAATGTCCCGTCCGCCTCTGGTTCCATAGCCGTGTGCCGTGTGTTGGTATTTGTTGCGGGACGAGTGCGTAGGCCTGCCTTTCCACATTGAACTGACTGAATTCACAGAGGCGCGTTTGTTTCTCTGCAGCGCTTTTCACCGAAAAGCCCTCGGGTTCCGGTCTCGACGGAGGCCGGATTTTCGGCACTAACTCGATAGCTGGGTCGGATGGACCGCGCTGTCTGAAGAATACTAGCGTCTGGCTGTTCAGTTTGGTGGTTTTTTCGCGGTTTCTGCGATCGGAAGCAACGACTGCCGGAGCAGTGTCTTCACACACGGGTCACAGACTGCACGCGACCTACTCTTCCTCTTCCGAGTCCTGTCCACACTTCACTCATTACACTACATTACAACATGTCTGGAGAACAATCGGTCGCTTAGGACTTGCCCCGGCTAGGGAGGTGTTCCTCTGGAGGGAGTCACGTGATAGGGGAAATCCCCTGAAAGCCGTAGTGTAAGTCGGCGCCGGATGTCACCAACCAGCGGGGTGGGAATCCCCGTTCCTTCTGGGGATATAACATGTTCTACACAAACAGAGGTTAGTTTTTTTTTGTTATTTAAGGCCGCATTAACTTGTAGGTCATTAGCGATCACTATTGCTTGCAATGGTGTGGTAACTATGAGGATGACACGATATGATGATGATAAGGTGTGAAATGAACACAATACAACCATGCCCGATGCGGGACTCGAACTCGCGATCCTTCGGTCCGAGATCGCTTCGGCACTACTACCTTAGCGATCTGGGCCACCGGATGGGCAGTTTAGCAGTTCACGTGCCCGGAATCAAACACTTAATCTGACAATAGCCAATTGTAATTTTTTTTGTGATCCACCGGCCGCCACCGAAGGGTGTTTCCCCTCCCCTAATAAAACCGATCGTTCGTGACTCTCTCACGTGTAAGGAAGATGAACAGGACGGCGCCGGCTACAGTGGACAGAATCTCCACAACGATGTCCTCGGGAGTCAAGAGGTTGTGCACCTTGACGAACATCAATGTGCTCATCACGCGGAATGTACTGCGCCAGTACACGTCGGACGTGGTCCCACTACCCAGACAGAGCTTGTGCAACCACGATCTGAAACGAGCAAAGGTGCTGCTACAATCTACTGCAGTTTGCCAGGCGAATACTAGTTTAAGATTGATATTTGCTATTAAAAAAATAATCTGCGAGACTCTCGCACGGTACAAGTGAAACTTCTTTCTCCCTGGGAGGTTTTGTATGCATTTTTTCACATTTGACAACCGTTTTTATTACTAATTTTTATGATTAAGAAATGGAATTGGGAAATAATGAATTTAATTCAAGAAAATCTATATTAATTAAACAACGAAATTTATCCACATTTTCGTTACCAGAGACCGGTAATAAGGTTTTTTTCTGTCAAAAAGCGCTAATTTGATTACTAATGATTTAATTACTAAGAAGTATTTAATAATTTCAACACAAGATCGCCTTTTGTAAATAAAAAAAATCGATGCGCAATAAAGTCATTTATAGAGGAATAAATGTTTGTTGGTTACTACAGTCTGACTTACGTGGGAGACCAAAGAGTGCGGTCTACTCCCTGACATCCAGTTGAGAACACAAGGGAAAGACAAGCTAGCCAATGGATTGTCAGTATTGGCACCAGCACGATAAAGGCTTTTTTCATGGCGACGTACCATAAACGCACCTTACTCTGCCACAAACAAAGGAATTTATGAAATATTTATAGTTTTGTCCTGAAGTAGAATCCCGTTATAAGAGAAACAGGAAACAGATTTTTGAATCTTATAAGCAGTAACTCTTATTAGTGGCGCCAGCTCTTCCCCGCGTGCCACCCTTCTTTTTACCTCGGCCTTTGATCACGTTTACAGAATAGCCGGCGCACGAAGTCACAGCGTTGACGGAAGCATCTCGATTGCGGAATGGCGTGGGCTGTGGTATAGTGTCTCTGTGCATATGCTGTGCAGTTTTTGAATTATTAAGGAAGAATGGTGCAATATATATTATACATGGTCGGGGCTTCCACCGAGAGCATCCCGCGGTCACCTTTTTCTACGTCGTTTACCTACCTCTCCACAAAGGCATAGACCGACTGCTGCCCGTTCCGTTTTCCTCCTTAGATAAGAGGCTTAATTTTTTTTCTTCAAATTTTACTTTATTCTCAATTAGTCCTATAGGAACTTTCGGTGAATTTTAATACTACATTATATTAAAAAACAATTAGTTTACAAATTTTAACAGCGATGTGGCCCATTGGAAGCTCAACTGAATATAAATGTTAGATCTAGTAGTGAATGTCTTGATAGTCGCATGGTTCGGCCTCTTTTGCTTTTTAGCTTTTCTGAAGAACTCACTTCGGCCACGCTGCTCCGAATCTCTGCGCGTCGGCGGAACTAAAAAGCGCCTGCCTGCGAGCCGCCATGCACTCTATTGTCCACGAATGCGAGCGCACTGTCCGTCGCCGACTAATTCTCGTGGTTCTCGTTCTCGTCGGTACACTCCGACCGGGTTTAGGCAGGTAGATTGTAGAGTAAATGAAAATGACAAGTAAATAAAGGAGTCGGTTCATTCTTAGGGTACGGTTCACGTAAAAGAACGAGACACGCCGAAAAAAGATTCGGTCTCTTCGATTTCGTGCATTCTGCAGCAGTGCAATGCCATTCCATCCGCTTTGTTCCCGCCACATTCTACTGCCAAATTACTTTCCAAGGCAAGTTATCTCACTTCGCTCGCCCGGCTCCAAGTCACGGTGAGGCTCGGGCTTTCGGCCCTCGAGTTTACTATAATCAACCTTGAGTCTAACCACCGCATAATTACCAATCCACTTTTATAAACTAGTGGTGTTACAGAATGGCGATTATTAATCGACTTATGCTCACTCATTCATTCATTTATTTACGTATTATTTTATTTATTAATCTGTTAACTAATATGCCCATTGTCTAATACATATATTATTATATTCAATCACTACTTCATTAAATTTATCATTCGCAGAGTACAGTGAATGCACGACTATCATCACACAAGAGCAATAATCATTCACATGCAGAAAAAATCGGCTTGTTAGAACTAAATTATGCAGAGAGCACGAAAATAAATATTCGATGGTCAGGAATAATGTTATTTGGTCGAATGCAACGAAAATAACTCTTTATGGTTCTAATGGATGGTGTGGCGTGGAGAAAGGGATATACGGCCAATTAAACTTGTAATACTGTACCTACTGTGAAACATGGAGAAGATTCTGGGATGTTTTGGCAGTGCATGTCGTCTAATGGGCTTGGAAATATGCAGATCATCGACGTCATTATGAACAAATGGGGATTCTTAGATTCTTGAAGAAAAATGTTAGGCAGAGTGCAGAAAAAATGGAATTAGGGCCAAGATACTTTTTCAGCAAGATAATGACCTTAAGCACACTGCTGATTTCTGCAGTGCCTTATATGTAACGTGCCCAAGCAAATGCGAACTCTCCATCTATCTCCTGGTCTGAACCCGATCGAACATGTATGGGTTGATTTGAAGGAAAGAGTGCAGTCAAGAAATCCTCAGTCACTGGAACAGTTAAAACGTGTTGTGGCAGAAGAATGGGGAAAACCGATGATATGATGTGCATTCAATGCAGATACAATGCAAAAGAGTTCTCAAAGCTAAAGGCTATGCGTCAGGATATTCGTATTTTGTTCTTCTTCTGAATTCTTGAGCATATCCTTCAATTGTTTGATAGTGATCAAATAAGACTGTTGCACAGTACAAGCCAGATTTTTGTTGAATTATTTATTTGTATTTTTATTTGAAATCAAATGAAATGAGTGGTTGTTTTTTTGGTTTCCTTAGAGTTATATAAAGAAGGCAAAAAAATAAAGATAAGACAAAACGTATAAAATAGTGTAAATATTTAATTTTTAGTTCCAGAACGGAAGTGTACAAACAACATTGTTACACCCCGTATGCGAGGAAGTAAAAATTATGTGAACGTATTTCGGGGAGCGCCGTGTGTTCTTATGCCTACATCGACCAAACAGACCCGGTGCCTTTTTAGCACAGTGCTCGTGCCAACGCGAGGCGGACGGCCTCCGCTGTCCCTTCCCTGCTGGGGCACCGGCGACCACAGTGCCTGTGAAGGAACAACTGCGCTGGTCCCTCCAGACAGTGCTATAGTGGGACGATCGTGTAGTGCGACATGATGCAGCACGCAGTGAGCTGTGCAAACAAATAGAGCCGCGATTGCAGCCCCCCCCCCCAAGAGTCAGTGTCAAGTCAAGATGGCAGACTATAAAGTCCACGCGAATAGTTTATAAGGACAAGAGCACGCGATGAAGAGCTGGCACACAATTATAAATACCAATGAAAAAATATACATAGAAATACATCAGGAGCTAGAAATGGAGGCCAGGTCTATTATATACAAAATGCAAATAGCATGTCAGAATTAAGCATAACAAATGAAAAGTTGTAAGTTGAACATAATTTAAGATATTAAGCCCCTCCATAATCTGTCTGTACAGGGTATTAAAGAACAAATTCATAATAACGTGCGTAAACGAAAAAGAAAAATGTGTAGACGTTTTTGATTTTTTTAAATTGCATTAACTTTAAGCAAAAATTACAGGAAAACTGGTTTTTAAAAAACAAAAATTACCTTATTTCAATATATTCTTTTATAACATATTTAATTTAGAAAAGAATCCCTAGCATCATTATTGAACTTTTTCAATGTTTAATTTTTGCAGTTTTCAGAAGTACAAAGAGTTCGCCACCAATGGGGCCAGCGCATTTAGTGTGTGGAAAAAAACGGAAAATGTTTGTAGCCATTTTCAAGAATTGTCAATAAATTACATTAACTACAAGCAAAAATTTAGTGAAAGCTAAACGTGTTTTTCAAAATTGTTCATGACTTTATAAGAATATTTAACTTTTGGAAAGATTTCATTAGGAAAAATATCTCTTTCATCCTGATTGTTCTTTTCCAACGTTGATTTTTTTTTGCAATTAAAAAAATAGATACTTCACAAAAAATGGGATCTACACCATCTTGTTAAGCGCCCTTTTTTTGATGAATGTATTTGAAAATATATGAAGCAGTTTCTGAGAAAATAATTGTTTAAAAATAGTCTATTTCACGAACAATTATGCGAAAACTATAGAAAAAGTTTCGACAAATCGTACACGAATTTATTTAAAGATCTGTATTTGAAGAATTAATTTTTTAAATAAAAATCTCTATCTTCTGTATTGAAGTTGAAGGAAGTCGCCGAAAAAATTGTGAATTTTTGCAATTTTCAAAACTTTAGAGATTTTAACAAAAGTTACACGTGCCCCATTTTTTCAGCGTGCTTTGCGCTATCCGACAAAAAAATTGAAGCCTTTTTAAAGAAAAGTTTGTAGGGCTTCAGGTAAAGTACCTCAAAAGCTAATATCTCCATTTCAAAATGACAAAGTTTGAATTGCTTGGGCAAAATCATCTAAACCGATTAGGCGCTAGCGGTGACCCCAGCCAGACAAACGGACAGACGCTTTTAAGTCAACCAATTTTTACGTATCAAGATTCCACAAAACGTGAATTCTTACTACATAACATGCTAGAGGAAGTAATTTACCGTATGCAGGAACAAGATTTATCAATATTTACTGGGCTGTCCGGGTGACGCCGCGTCCATGGCAAAGGTGCCGACGTTTCGTTCGCCATTCTGCGACCTTCCTCAGGGCGTAATGCATTAGTCGCAGAATGGCGACCGAAACGTCGGCACCTTCGCCATGGACGCGGCGTCACCCGGACAGCCTAGTAAATACTGACTCCGGCCGCGGAAGCGTACGTTCTCAAGATTTATCAACTTTGTTGGTACTAGAACCCCTCAACACGGGCTTGGGTGTTGAAAAATCGGTTGTTTTTTTTTGCCGCGGCAACAATTTACCTTTGCGACATAAGTATGTAGTAAGAAGATAAAGTAAATACATTATTTGCTACATTTATATTGTATATTCTGGCAGCACATATATAATACACAAGGACACACCGTAATTCGTTCTCTGTATTTTCAAACCTTCTTGCCTTTTGAATTCGAAAAACTTGACTATTACTTACGATCAAAAGCAGATGCAAGGCACGACATACAGAGGGGAAGCGAACGACTTTGAGAAGATTAAAGCAAGCTTCGTGCAGAGGATAACCCATGAATATCGCCAAAGTCCAGGGAAAAACTGACATTGAATCCATTAACAGACGCTTCCTCCAGTAGTTCCTTGGAACCAAATACGTACAAAGGAGTTTAAAATTGACGTCTGTTGTATCGTTATTTATATTAAATGGTTCTAACCTATTTTTTTAAATAGATACAATAATATTTTCAGAAATTTAAAAACGGTTGCAGCAATTTACAAATATTGTTATTATCTCCATGCTAATGATGTAATGTATTTTTAAATTTTAAAAACCGTTTTAAAAAGTGATTAATTAAAAAAATATTAAAAAATATTCGAACATATACTAAACATACATGAAAATAGTTAAATTGATCCATTCCCTACAAAACAGATAGGCAAATATTATATAGTTTGTCTTACCTAGCGATTGTTCTTCTATCCAAGTGAACAACGTGATTGGAGTAATCTTCCACGCCCCTTACAAATGCCATAACAAGATCCAGAACGTACATCAAGTCAATAAAGCACGTGATAAACAAACATACTACGTTCGCAACGAGTACCATCGTGCTCTCTTTGATCACTCCATACCGATGGCCGAAAAGGACCATCGCCTTCCAGGGCAGCACGATCAACGCCAGGAGCACCGTCGCCCCCATTGCCAAGTCCCAGTAGAAGCTGCCAACACATTTCATTTTCATTCCTGAGTATGCGTGCAATCAGTGGCGACCCGCGCTTAGGTTACATCAGTGCCCGACTATGACTTACTTGAATGAGCGTCCTAGGCTGTCAAATGTTTTAGCGCCCTTTTTTAAAATTTCCTTTTCTAACATTAAAGCTATTTATAATATTTTAAATAAAATAATTGTTGTACAATATTTGCAACCGATGCAAATATTGTGTACGTATAAATCATTCATTAATCATATAAATAATTGTCACCACAATATTTATTCAATAAATATTAGATATTTTTGTATCAATTTCATCTGTATATATCAATGTATATCTATACTTGATTAATGGACACTTTCTTTAGTTATAAATATGGAAAGAAATATTTCTATAAAAAACATTTAAATGTTCGCCTAGTTAAATTTTGCAACCGCTGAAATTCGCCCGCCCCCCAAAATTTCGCATCTCAAGCCGCAGCCTACTCAGCCTGTTCGGTTATCTGGCACTGGGTTGCACAACTCTAGATAATCTAAAATACGATGCGCGAGGAAAGATTTAGCAGAGTATTAGAAAACACATTTGTTTCAATTGCATTTCCGACATTCGAGTGAGCTGCAGCCCCCATCGTTGAGGGTCATCAGGCGCTACGTATGAAATACAGACGTATTAATATTGTGTATTGTTTCGGAGCACGTCAACTATTATGGTCATTACTACCGTTAGTGTAAAGAATTTTTTATACTGGGAGGTGGCGGTGTTCGGATGGAGACATCCGGCGCCGACATACACGAAGGCTTGCGAGGGATTTCCCTCACAAGGGTGGAAGAAAAGATCGAGTGCAGTCCACAGTCCATTTTTTGGGGTATTGCTCCGACACTTGTCTGGAGTTGATTGGAGAAACCATGTGAGAGGTATGTGTGTGTGTGTGTGTGTGTGTGTGAGTGTGCGTGAGTGTGTGCGTGCGTGCGCGAGAGCGCATGCGTGGGGTGTAGGTGAGTGCGATGACTGAAGTGCGATGTGTAAGTCTGGTTGAGAAAGCGTGGCAGGCGTGCCTGAAGGGGTTGAAGCGTTGCTGCTCACGGGAGT